CCAGTGTGCATGCCGCCACCCAAGCCCACATACGCCGGCAAGACAGCCACTGTCACAGGTTGGGGAACCACCAGCTCCGGAGGCTCGTCTTCAGACACTCTGAGGGAAGTCGACGTCACGGTCAGTACGAATCAGATGCTTGTGTGAAACAGTGGATATTAAGTCACATTGTAACGTGTAGTTTTGTTCCCTGTTGCGGACTGATTTTTTTTCTGTTCCAAATTATAACATTTAAACCTTGACCATTAACCACCTTCTAAATGCTGGCAACTGAACGCAGGTGCTATCCAACACCGCGTGTCAGTCCGGCAATTACGGAAGCGCCATTCAAGATACCATGTTGTGCGCCGGAAGTGCAGGCAAGGACTCGTGCCAGGGAGATTCTGGCGGCCCTCTGGTGTTCAAGGACGGAGGCGGAAACTACGACCAGGTGAGTGGGCGCAGATACTATGTTGGTGGGCTCATGAATGACGAAATAAAATTCTATGCTTTATAAATAAAGGTGGAATCAGATATTATTCTGATCATCAGTATAATAAATGATTTGCTGAACAAGATTATTATAGAATATCAGAGCATACCTTGAAAGATTTAATGGGATTTAACAATCACTCGCATTATAAAGGCATCAGGGATATATGAGCATAACCTCCTGTGCTCTTGACATGTAACCAACATCGAACTAACAGATCGGCGTGGTGAGCTGGGGCGTTGGGTGCGGAGCTCGAGGCTACCCCGGCGTGTACACCCGCGTCAACAGCTACCTCGACTGGATCAAGACCAACACAGCCGATGGCGTTTACTGCAAAGGAATGCTTCTCTAGTCCTGCCACTCGCACTCTCACGACCGCCAATCTAAGTCGGAAGGAAGAAAGCGAGACGTCAATAAGAACGCACATCACCATCGAACATGTTTTAAGCCTAAACCACCCGGTGAAATCTGACATAATAAAAAGTTTCAGAATAAACAACGTTATTCATCATTATTTATCATTTTCTTCCCAATGGTAATATGTAAATGCTTCGTCTTACAGTATCTTAAATAAGAAATCGTTCTTACCCCAAGGCCGCCAGGGAAAATGAATAAAAAATGGGAAGATGCTGTGCTCATTTTTTATATACATAATTTTTTTTTTTTTTGTGAAATGTCTCTGCACATAGATGGCTCTGTTAGTGCTTAGCCACAAAGGAGTCAATTAGTAGACATTGTGCCCTTACGTGATTTGAATTGGCGGGAAAAATGTATTTTTTACTAGTGCTATGACGAACGATGGTGTTATTTTTAATATAAACATTATAATTACTATAATGGTATAAAAAAACAAACAAAACATCAGTAGCAACAGAATAAGATAACGTAAAATATTTTCGTAAATCAAAGAAAAGGGTAAACGGGCGAGACAGGCAGTACTTGTAATTGGTTCATTGGTGACTTAGTACAAGTGTAGCCATCTATGTGTTAAAACAATCGAACAAGTAACTCACAGTGGGCATGTATGTGTGTACACGTCACATCCGTCGGTATTGGGTTAAAGAGTAACCACTAAGCTTGTACACAACTTTGCATTTTTTCATTGCTGAGATACTACATTTTCAAAAGCACCTTTTTTCAAAAAAATTCTGTCTAAAAATATAGTTTTGAAGCATCTTTTACTGAAATATGCGTCGTCTTCTAATTTACACATTAAAATGCTGTTCGCAGCGCCATCTCTTGGAATTAGTTGCGATGACGTCATGAGTTGTGTTAGTGTCAATGTTGCTTATTATGGCTATGGCGTGTTCTTCATCATCCAGTGTTGATAGCTTCTCAAGTTCGTCTTTTGACGGTAGTCTGGACTCTATAAACATTTCGGATAGCATGATGAGAATTGCAGTTTAGCCTACACCATATTAATTAGATATCAGTGTGTCATGGTCTTGATCCTGTAAAATGTCATCATGCCATGCAAGCTATGGCCATGAACATGATTAAATTAATACAGCTGGGGTTAGTGGAGGTGATTGGCGATTCCTTTGCAGGATTCGAAGTCGATCGTACCGAAGAAAATGGGGCCTAGTCCAATAGGCCTGTGATCTGGCTGGCCTGGCCCTAACTGTTAGCAAATATCTATATTAAAATACATCTTAACTGTGGTTTTGATTTTTACAGGTGCAAGTGTGACAGATGTGAGTTATGTGAAACTCCAGAGGAAAACATGTGTTGCACAGAAAAGATGCCAGTACAGGAAAAAAAAATGATGAGTACAACGACAATTTTTGGGGAAACATTAAGTGCATTACACAGCATCCAGGTTTCGTGTCTAACTGTCTGGATGTCTGGGTTCTGCAAAATGTTTATGATCATTTCAAAGTGCAACATAAACACAGATTTGATGGAGAAACCAATGAGTGAGTGTGTTAAATTAAATAATTAAATATATTTTTACATATACATTATTAATAATATGGATCTCTATCCATATTTGGTGGACAATAGGACATTTGCATACAAAATATCACACAAAAGGTTCTCATCCATGCATTCACGGCGATGACAAAGAAAATGAACACAACTCATGACGTCATTCCCGGGTTGGTGGCGCTACTGGTAATATTTGAGTTAAAAGCTGTAGGAGACGACGTTTTGGGCCCAGAATTTGTTCATTCAAAGGGCTATAAATATAAAACACGTTTTTAAAAAATTAATTAAAAAAAAATCTTATGCATATTTGGAGGTACAAGAACAAATTCTGAGATGAATAACATACATTTCATTCACATAGTGGTTACTCTTTACAGGGTAAATACCCATATCATTGAAACGAATCGTACTTAGGGCGTGTGATATATTCATGATACAGTAATGAAAGAAATCGTTCCAGGAGAAATATGTATATATATATATATATATATATATATATATATATACATACACATCTATACATTTGTATATATTTATGTATGTATATATATGTATGTATGTATATATATGTGTATGTATGTATATATATGTGTATGTATGTATATATGTGTATGTATGTATATGTGTATGTATGAATATAGATTTATTTTTTGTATATACATGCACATATGTACATATACATATATATCGATATGTATATGTGAATATATATATATATATATATATATATATATATATATATGTACATGTATATACATACATAAACATGTTTGTATATAAATATGTATTTTTGTATATCTGAGTATATAAATAATATTTACACATATGTATACAATATACATATCTTCATATGTATGTATGTATATATATATATATTTATATAAGTATGTACATATAAATTTATATATACAAATATATGCACATACATATATATACATATATGTATAAACATGTATATATATATATATATATATATATATATATATATGTGTGTGTGTGTGTGTGTGTGTGTGTATGCATATACATGTATATACATATCTATTTGTATATATATAGCTATATATACATACATATGTATGTATATATCTTTAGGTATATATAATTGTATATATAGAAATACATGCACACACTCACACACATACACACGCGCGCGCGCGCGCGCACGCACACATAAAGGTAATGTGGATGATAATAGCAATAGTTATATATATATGTGTGTGTGTGTACATGTGTGTGTGTGTGCGCGTGTGTGTGTGCATAAACATATATGTATGTATATATGTCTGTATGTATATACATATACACACAGATACACCCATATCCACCCATGCGCATACACTTTCACACACCCATGAACATACATATATGTAAATGTATAAATGAATATATACATGTGTACATGTACTAACATAATTACGCGCATAGTTCATATATATTTGCATTTTAACACAGAAACACACACACATTTATATATTCCTATATAAATACATACATATTTCATATGTGTGTAAACATATATGTATGCATATATCTGTATGTTTGTGTATACATATATACCCCCCCCCCTCCCCACACACATATATATGTATATATATATATATATATATATATATATAAATACATAAATGAATAAAAACATCTGTACGCGTGTGTACACATACACAAATACACAGACACACATGGGCGAATATCTATATATGTATATAAAGAGATATAGATGTATACATACTTATATACGTATTGTATGTACGCAGAGACAATATATATATATTATATATATATATATATATATCTATAGGAAGAAATAAAGTAAGATTCTTGCTAAATTTACCGAGTTAATTCTATGAATTAATAAGACAATGAAAATTAAGTGAATATTTCTAGGTGCAAAAGCACACATCTGTGCATTAGGTTATGTGCAATTTTTGTTGGAAACTACATTTTCATTCTGTTACATATTGGAGGAAATTTTTAGTTATGAAAAGAGGTCTAAAAATTGTAGGCCTATGTTTATTCAAGTGTTTTCTCTAATTTTAGTAGATAAAAAAATAATTCCAATATATGAAACAAATTACGAAGATTAAAAAAAAAAAAAGAAGGAAAATATGGTACAGATTATGGTTCACATATACAAACCTTAACATTGACTATTGCCTGTTCATGTAAGCCCCATACACAGGTGTTGACTGTGAAAAGACCTGTCGGTATATATAAGATCGCGTTGCTGGAACAGGAAGCAGTAGCGAACATGGCAGCCCGAAGAGTCCTGAGCGTCCTGACGGTGGCGATGATGGGGGTTGTCTCCCAAGCAGCGCCTCCCCACTTCAACGGCTCGCTGCCCTTCGTCAGTAAGTCCTTTGGGTGAAAGTAAGACGTGTTTGACGTTCCTTGGTGTTTTTCTTTTGTCACTAAGTCCTTTGGTTATTCTCGTCACCATCTAACACTCTTTTTTAAAACCACTTGATTATGCAGATTAGGTAAAAGTATACATTATGAATTGGTCTTTCAGCGAACAGGCGTTCACAAACAAGTATTCACAGTGAGGGAAAATATTTTGTTCAGTCTGTAGTTTGGTATCTCTTTGCAAGTGTCTTTTCGTTTGATAATGGGGTTCATCTCGAAAGCAGTGTCTCGCTTCCAGTCGAGCCTCGCGTGAACTTCGACGACACGTGTAGGTGTGGGCAGAAGGCCGCGTCCAGGATCGTGGGCGGGACGACCACGGGCGTGAACGAGTGGCCGTGGCAAGCGGCGCTGATGTACGGTTCGCAGCAGTTCTGCGGCGGATCCCTGATCAACGACCGATACGTCCTGACCGCCGCCCATTGCACCGAGGTGAGCACGGAACTGGGATGGAAATGAGTGAGTGAAACGAAGCAAGGAGAATGCAAGAGACAAATGCAAAGTCATCCATAGTGAGGATAGGAATGTTTAGATAAAACGGTGTAACCATTTCATAGCAAGAGTATTTATAGCGGTGGTGATGTGATTTATTTGCAGAGCATGAGAGCGTCTGACCTGACCATCCGTCTGGCCGAACACAGGCTGAGCACTTCCTCAGAGACCAGTGTTGTGAGCAGGTCTGTGTCTCAGATCATCGAGCATCCAAACTACCAGCCGGGTAACGAGATTAACGACATCGCTCTCGTTAAACTGTCATCGCCAGTCAAGGTGAGCAAAAGAGCATCTGCGGTTCAAGCGATGAACACGGTGTACATAAGTGCCGAACTCTTAAAACAAATTTTATCCATTAGGTTAGTTATTAAAAAAGTCAAGGTTACCAAGGTGAGACCTGTTTTATTTACAGGTGAGCGATACAGTGTTGCCAGTGTGCATGCCGCCACCCAAGCCCACATACGCCGGCAAGACAGCCACTGTCACAGGTTGGGGAACCACCAGCTCCGGAGGCTCGTCTTCAGACACTCTGAGGGAAGTCGACGTCACGGTCAGTACACGAATACGGATGCTTGTGTGAAACAGTGGATATTAAGTCACATTGTAACGTAATGTAGTTTTGTTCCCTGTTACGGACTTTGATTTCTTCTATTCCAAATAATGATGACATTTACACCTAGACCTTTCATCGCCTTCTAAACGTTGGCAACTGAACGCAGGTGCTGTCGAACACCGCGTGTCAGTCCGGCAGTTACGGAAGCGCCATTCAAGACACCATGTTGTGCGCCGGAAGTACAGGCAAGGACTCGTGCCAGGGAGATTCGGGCGGCCCTCTGGTGTTCAAGGACGGAGGCGGAAACTACGACCAGGTGAGTGGGCGCAGACACTATGTTGGTAGGCTCATGAATGACGAAATAAAATTTGATGCTTTGTAACTAAAAGTCCATCAGTATAATAAATGATTTGCTGAACAAAATCTGTACAGAATAACAGAGCATACCTTGGAAGATTTAATGGGATGTACGAGAAGGATTAACAATCAGTCGCATTATAAAGGCATCAGGGATATCTGAGCATACCCTCCCGTGTTCTTGATATGTAATCAACTTCTAACCCACACAGATCGGCGTGGTGAGCTGGGGCGTTGGGTGCGGAGCTCGAGGCTACCCCGGCGTGTACACCCGCGTCAACAGCTACCTCGACTGGATCAAGACCAACACAGCCGATGGCGTTTACTGCAAAGGAATGCTTCTCTAGTCTTTCTATTCGTAGTCTCTCACGACCGCCAGTCCAGGTCGGAAGGAAGAAAGAGAGACGTCAATAAGAACGCACATCACCATCGAACATGTTTTAAGCCTCAACCATCCGCTGAAATCTGACATCATAATAAAAAGTTTCAGAATAAACAACGCTATATATAATTATTTATCCTTTTCTTCCCAAAAATTGTTATTAAAGGGTAAATGCCTATATCATTGAAACGAACCGTACTTAGGGCGTGAGATATATTCATGATACAGCAATGAAAGGAGTTGTTTCAGGGAAAATATGTATATATACATATGTATATATGTACACATCTATCTATATGTGTGTATGTATATATATGTATGTATATATATATATATATATATATATATACATATATTTGTGTATATACATGCACATATGTACATATACATATATAAAGATATGCATATGTAAATATGTATATATATATATATATGTACATGTATATACATATATATGTTTATATATATGTGTGCTTATGTAGATTTGAGTATATAAATATGTATACAATATACATATCATACACACAACCACATGTATACACATGTATATATGTAAAGGTTGCTAATTTGATCTTAATTACTGGCCTCCGCCAGTACAACCTTCTGCGGATCACCTCTACTTTGTTGCCCGATTTTAACAATTGGTACTAAAGGAAACACAATATATACAAGAACATGATAAAGATAAAAAATGTGAAAAATAGAATAGAATATAAATCAGCAAAATAATTCATGCAATATAAATCCACCGTTTAATCGTCCCCTAGTTCAGTGGACTTCGTGACCCATAATCGCGGGTAATATTCACACTTTTCCACATCTCACGTAACGTTCGGGTGACTGTAGCTGCGTCCTCACTTTTCCTCACTTTTATTCTTCATCTCCTTGCACATCTCTCCTCACACTTATAGCCTCGTAGACTCGCTCGTTCCGTCTCACGCCTCACGAGTGGTTTTTTTCCGTAAGGGCGTCCGTACTTGGGACGAGGCATTGCACTTTTCCACTCCGCACTGGAAACCCTGTTAAGTGTTATAAACCCCTATTTTATCTTCGTTCTTTACTTTAATTGGTGTTCTTTGTCAATATCACTTTTTCACGTTTTATAACAAAAATTGTTTCCTTACCAAGGATGTTTAAAATACGCTAGTGGCTGTTACTGTTACCTCGGGTGGGTAGGTCTCGTCTGGGCAGCTGTCTGAGTGTGAATGGGACGTCACACTGGAGGATTCCCCTTGTCATTCGATAATAATCTATTTTCATATATTGTTTCGTCTATTTTTTTTTCTACTTCATATCATTTCATCTATTAGTTTAGTCAATTTCCATTTATTTTCTACTTCTATTTTTGTTTCTCTTTTTCTATGGTCACATCATAAATATCAGTCTTTTATTAGGTCAATTATTTAGTCATAATAACAATATTTTCGGTGGGAAAAGCTATATTTTGTAAAGGAAAAAAACATACAAAAGACATTATCTATTCATTCACCCATTCAACATTTCATTTCATTCGCATGCACACTTCCTTACGTACGTCACTGCTTCATTCTCATTTCGACTTGCATACTCATTCACTCCTAGCAGTCGCTATGCTTCACGTATATACATATACACACAGACACACACATACGCACCCATATACACACACTTTCACACACACGCGTGCACGCGCGCGAGCGCACACACACACACACACATGCATATATGTAAATATATTAGTGAATCTATACATGTGTACGCGTGTGTATACAAACACATACACAAATACACACACAGACACACATGTGAAAATATATATATATATAAAGATATAGATATAGCTATATACATACTTATATACGTATTTCATGTATTTATACACATACATAAATATATATATACATATACACACATATATACTTATATATGTATTTATATATATATATGTCTGTGTATACATATATACGTATTATACGCATAGATTCATATATGTATATATACACATATTCACGCATACACATATGTATATATATATTCATTTACACGCACACACGCGTATATATTATATACATATACATATACACACATACATATACAAACACACACACACATACACATACGCATGTACACATACACATACACATGTGCATATATATATATAGATAGATAGATAGATAGGTATGTACATACATATATATACGTATTGTATACACACACATATATACATGTATATATTTATATATAAATGTATATGCATATATACATATTATAGTTATATATATGTATAACAATAATGAATTAAATGTATGATAACACTGGTAACAATAACAGTACAACTACTTATCATTAGTAATGACACGTAGCTCAATCAGTTTTTGAAAATAAGGAGTAAAAAAATTAAGATTCTTGCTATATTTACCGAGTTAATTCAATGACCTGTGAATGAATAAGACAAAAAACAATTAAGTGACTATTTCCAAGCGCAAAAACACACACACGCGCGCAATAGGTTGGGATATGTACAATTTCTGGTGGAAACTACATATCCATTTTGTTACATATTGGAGGATTTTCTTGATCACTGATTATGAAAAGAGGCTTAAAAATTGTAGGCCTACGTTTACTCAAGTGTTTTCTCAATTTTTTAGTAGATAAGAAAATTAATTCCAATATATGAAATAAAGTACGATTAAAAAAAAAGAAAAGAAAAAATGGAAAATATGGTACAGATTATGGTTCACATATGCAAACCTTAAAGTTAACTATTGCCAGTTAATGTAGGCCCCACACACAGGTGTTAACTGTGAAAAGACCTGTCGGTATATATAAGATCGCGTTGCTGGAACAGGAAGCAGTAGCGAGCATGGCAGCCCGAAGAGTCCTGAGCGTCCTGACGGTGGCGATGATGGGGGTTGTCTCCCAAGCAGCGCCTCCCCACTTCAACGGCTCGCTGCCCTTCGTCAGTAAGTCCTTTGGGTGAAAGTAAGACGTGTTTGACGTTCGTGGGTGGGTGTTTTTCGTTTGTCACTAAGACCTTTGGTTATTCTCGTCACCATCTAACACTCTTTTTTAAAACCACTTGATTATGCAGATTAGGTAAAAGTATACATTATGAATTGGTCTTTCAGCGAACAGGCGTTCACAAACAAGTATTCACAGTGAAGGAAAATATTTTGTTCAGTCTGTCGTTTGGTATTTCTTTGCAAGTGTCTTTTCGTTTGTTAATGGGGTTCATCTCGAAAGCAGTGTCTCGCTTCCAGTCGAGCCTCGCGTGAACTTCGACGACACGTGTAGGTGTGGGCAGAAGGCCGCGTCCAGGATCGTGGGCGGGACGACCACGGGCGTGAACGAGTGGCCGTGGCAAGCGGCGCTGATGTACGGTTCGCAGCAGTTCTGCGGCGGATCCCTGATCAACGACCGATACGTCCTGACCGCCGCCCATTGCACCGAGGTGAGCACGGAACTGGGATGGAAATGAGTGAGTGAAACGAAGCAAGGAGAATGCAAGAGACAAATGCAAAGTCATCCATAGTGAGGATAGGAATGTTTAGATAAAACGGTGTAACTATTCATAGCAAGAGTATTTGTAGCAGTGGTGATATGATTTATTTACAGAGCATGAGAGCGTCTGACCTGACCATCCGTCTGGCCGAACACAGGCTGAGCACTTCCTCAGAGACCAGTGTTGTGAGCAGGTCTGTGTCTCAGATCATCGAGCATCCGAACTACCAGCCGGGTAACGAGATTAACGACATCGCTCTCGTTAAACTGTCATCGCCAGTCAAGGTGAGCAAAACTGCATCAAGCGATGAACACGGTGTACATAAGTGCTGATTTTTTTTAAAACAAATTTTATCCATTAGGTTAATTATTAAGAAAGTCAAGGTTACCAAGGTGAGATCTGTTTTATTTTCAGGTGAGCGATACAGTGTTGCCAGTGTGCATGCCGCCACCCAAGCCCACATACGCCGGCAAGACAGCCACTGTCACAGGTTGGGGAACCACCAGCTCCGGAGGCTCGTCTTCAGACACTCTGAGGGAAGTCGACGTCACGGTCAGTACACGAATACGGATGCTTGTGTGAAACAGTGGATATTAAGTCACATTGTAACGTAATGTAGTTTTGTTCCCTGTTACGGACTTTGATTTCTTCTATTCCAAATAATGATGACATTTACACCTAGACCTTTCATCGCCTTCTAAACGTTGGCAACTGAACGCAGGTGCTGTCGAACACCGCGTGTCAGTCCGGCAGTTACGGAAGCGCCATTCAAGACACCATGTTGTGCGCCGGAAGTACAGGCAAGGACTCGTGCCAGGGAGATTCGGGCGGCCCTCTGGTGTTCAAGGACGGAGGCGGAAACTACGACCAGGTGAGTGGGCGCAGACACTATGTTGGTAGGCTCATGAATGACGAAATAAAATTTGATGCTTTGTAACTAAAAGTCCATCAGTATAATAAATGATTTGCTGAACAAAATCTGTACAGAATAACAGAGCATACCTTGGAAGATTTAATGGGATGTACGAGAAGGATTAACAATCAGTCGCATTATAAAGGCATCAGGGATATCCGGAGCATACCCTCCCTGTGTTCTTGATATGTAATCAACTTCTAACCCACACAGATCGGCGTGGTGAGCTGGGGCGTTGGGTGCGGAGCTCGAGGCTACCCCGGCGTGTACACCCGCGTCAACAGCTACCTCGACTGGATCAAGACCAACACAGCCGATGGCATTTACTGCAAAGGAATGCTTCTCTAGTCTTTCTATTCGTAGTCTCTCACGACCGCCAGTCCAGGTCGGAAGGAAGAAAGAGAGACGTCAATAAGAACGCACATCACCATCGAACATGTTTTAAGCCTCAACCATCCGCTGAAATCTGACATCATAATAAAAGGTTTCAGAATAAACAACGCTATATATAATTATTTATCCTTTTCTTCCCAAAAATTGTTATTAAAGGGTAAATGCCTATATCATTGAAACGAACCGTACTTAGGGCGTGAGATATATTCATGATACAGCAATGAAAGGAGTTGTTTCAGGGAAAATATGTATATATACATATGTATATATGTACACATCTATCTATATGTATATATGTATGTGTGTATGTATATATATGTATGTATATATATATATATATATTCATATATTTGTGTATATACATGCACATATGTACATATACATATATAAAGATATGCATATGTAAATATGTATATATATATATATAAATGTACATGTATATACATATATATGTGTGCTTATGTAGATTTGAGTATATAAATATGTATACAATATGCATATCATACACACAACCACATGTATACACATGTATATATGTAAAGGTTGCTAATTTGATCTTAATTACTGGCCTCCGCCAGTACAACCTTCTGCGGATCACCTCTACTTTGTTGCCCGATTTTAACAATTGGTACTATAGGAAACACACAATATATACAAGAACATGATAAAGATAAAAGATATGAAAAATAGAATAGAATATAAATCAGCAAAATAATTCATGCAATATAAATCCACCGTTTAATCGTCCCCTAGTTCAGTGGACTTCGTGACCCATAATCGCGGGTAATATTCACACTTTTCCACATCTCACGTAACGTCCGGGTGACTGTAGCTGCGTCCTCACTTTTCCTCACTTTTATTCTTCATCTCCTTGCACATCTCTCCTCACACCTATAGCCTCGTAGACTCGCTCGTTCCGTATCACGCCTCACGAGTGTTTTTTTCCGTAAGGGCGTCCGTACTTGGGACGAGGCATAGCACTTTTCCACTCCGCACTGGAAACCCTGTTAAGTGTTATAAACCCCTATTTTATCTTCGTTCTTTACTTTATTTTTGTTCTTTGTCAATATTAATTTTTCACGTTTTATAACGAAAAGATCGTTTTCCTTACCGAGGATGTTTAAAATACGCTAGTGGCTGTTACTGTTACCTCGGGTGGGTAGGTCTCGTCTGGGCAGCTGTCTGAGTGTGAATGGGACGTCACACTGGAGGATTCCCTTTGTCATTCGATAATAATTCATTTTCATATATTGTTTCGTCTATTTTTTTTCTTTTTTTCTACTTCATATAATTTCATTTATTAGTTTGGTCAATTTCCATTTATTTTCTATTTCTATTTTTGTTTCTCTTTTTCTATGGTCTCATCATAAATATCAGTCTTTTATTAGGTCAATTATTTAGTCATAATAACAATATTTTCGGTGGGAAAAACTATATTTTGTAAAGAAAAAAAAAAAAAAAACATACACAAGACATTTCATTCGCATGCACACTTCCTTACGTACGTCACTGCTTCATTCTCATTTCGACTTGCATACTCATTCACTCCTAGCAGTCGCTATGCTTCACGTATATACATATACACACAGACACACACATACGCACCCATATACACACACTTTCACACACACGCGTGCACGCGCGCACACACACACACATGCACCCATATACACACACTTTCACACACACGCATGCACGCGCGCGCGCACACACACACATACATATATGTAAATATATAAGTGAATCTATACATGTGTACGCGTGTGTATACAAACACATACTCAAATACACACACAGACACACATGTGGAAATATATATATATATATATATATATATATATAAAGATATAGATATAGCTATATACATACTTATATACGTATTTCATGCATTTATACACATACATAAATATATATATATACATATACACACATATATACATATATATGTATTTATATATATATGTCTGTGTGTACGTATTATACGTATAGATTCATATATCTATATATATACATATTCACGCATACACATATGTATATATATATTCATTTACACGCACACACATGTATATATTATATACATATACATATACACACATACATATACAAACACACACACACATACACATACGCATGTACACATACACATACACATGTACATATATATAGACAGATAGATAAATAGACAGATAGATAGGTATGTACATACATATATATACGTATTGTATACACACACATATATACATGTATATATTTATGTATAAATGTATATGCATATATACATATTATAGTTATATATATGTATAACAATAATGAATTAATGTATGATAACACTGGTAACAATAACAGTACAACTACTTATTATTAGTAATGACACGTAGCTCAATCAAAAAAAGTTATTTCAATGAACTGTGAATGAATAAGACAAAAAACAATTAAGTGACTATTTCCAAGCGCAAACACACACACACGCGCAATAGGTTGGGATATGTACAATTTCTGGTGGAAACTACATATCCATTTTGGAGGATTTTCTTGATCACTGATTATGAAATGAGGCTTAAAAATTGTAGGCCTACGTTTACTCAAGTGTTTTCTCAATTTTTTGGTAGATAAGAAAATTAATTCCAATATATGAAATAAAGTACGATAAAAAAAAAAAAAAAAAAAAAATGGAAAATATGGTACAAATTATGGTTCACATATGCAAACCTTAAAGTTAACTATTGCCAGTTAATGTAGGCCCCACACACAGGTGTTAACTGTGAAAAGACCTGTCGGTATATATAAGATCGAATTAAAGAATTAAATGTATAATAATACTGGTAACAGTAATAGTACAATCATTTGTTATTAGAAGAAATGACACGTCGCTCAACCAACTTTTGAAAATAAGGAGGAAAAAATCAAGATTCTTGCTAAATTTACCGAGTTAATTCTATGAACCGTGAATGAATAAGACTATAGAATAAGAATAAGAATATTTCTAGGCTCAAAAACACACACATACGAGCATTAGGTTATGTACACTTTCTGTTGGAAACTACATATCCTTTCTGTTGCATACTGGAGGAAATTTCTTGATCACTAGTGACGAAAAGGTCTAAACATTATAGGCCTGCGTTTATTCAAATGTTTTCTCTGATTATCAGTATATGAAAAAAGTTAATTCCAACGTATGAAACAAATTACGAAGAGTTTCAAAAAGATGCAAAATATGGTACAGATTATGGTTCACATATGCAAACCTTAACACTGACTATTGCCAGTTCATGTAAACCCCATACACAGGTGTTGACTGTGAAAAGACCTGTCGGTATATATAAGACCGCCTTGCTGGAACAGGAAGCAGTAGCGAGCATGGCAGCCCGAAGAGTCCTGAGCGTCCTGACGGTGGCGATGATGGGGGTTGTCTCCCAAGCAGCGCCTCCCCACTTCAACGGCTCGCTGCCCTTCGTCAGTAAGTCCTTTGGTTGAAAGTAAGACGTGTTTGACGTTCCTTGGTGTTTTTGGTTTGTCAGTGCAAGTCCTTTTATTATTTTCGTCATCATCTTGTCTTTTCACTTTTTTGTGCTACACTCATTTTAAAACCACTTGATTATGCTGATTAGGTAAAAACATATATTATGAA